ATGGAAATCTGATTAAGATTTTGCTTGGGGGTTTTAGTTAGATGTTTACCACCATATGGCCTGTTTTGTAGGGACCTGACGCTTGTCACTGGCCACCTCCCAGATGAGGAGATTTGCTGGGCCATGCGGCACCCCCAGGGCTCAGGTGTTTAAAAACACAGAAGCTTTGTGTTTGATGCCCTCGGCTAAAGAAAAAAATTGAAATTTGAATAAGGGAGAAGATAGCATTTATACAGTTGTGTGACGTACTCTGTTCTCACTTATGTGCAGCGGATGTAAGTGGACAGGGTAAAGTCATATGAGAGTTGATGTGCAGTTCCCATAACTGGACGAGCGTGCTTTTCATACGGCCAGCTAACCCTCATCTCCAGTTGTGCTGTTCATATGACCAGCTGTTAGTTCTGTGCTGGCCATGTGTCAGCTATTCATGGCAGCTCAATGGAAATGGGGCACCACCTACTGACTCATAACTCTCCATGCACTTTGTCTCCATAGAGCCAATGAGTGATGCCAGGCTTTCTCACCAGCTAAGCTGGGCCCTACAGACCAGTATGAAGTGACTAGAGGCAGTGAACCCCTATCTGCGATGAGCGACAGCTCAGTGATTGATTAGCTGGCTGTTTCCCGACAATGTTCTAATTAAAATGGCTTGTAGGATTCCCCTCATTGATAATGATGTGCTCACCAGCAACACTGTGACTGAAAGCTTGGTTGGGTCAGATATTTTTAATGCTGTTTTTCTGATCTAGTATGTTAACAAAGTACTAGTTCCACACCTGTTCTGTCTGTCCAAAAAACGACTCCAAGCGGACTTGGCTGCTGCAGGTGTTAAAAATCGCTGAATGCATGAAATTGAGCAAGACAAATCGTCATGCTTTTTAAAAATGTTTTCCAAAACTTTTTTGCTCAGGTATGACATTTGATGGAATACAGGTGTTGCAAAAGTTAAAAACACCGCTGTGACTGACTAGTGCCTTTAACAAGGCAGTTGCGCTGGTTTTGTTCTGTTTATTTCATGTCATTTTTGGCACCTTTAAGGATATGTTTTACTTTTGAGGGTTTCTGAAGTGCCAACTCCCAAATGTAAATATACGGTTTCTGTAAAGTTATCTTTCAGAGTTTATTAGTGATGTAAAGTTAAACACTGAGTATTGATCTCAAAGAGCTGGTTTTGAGGCTTTTTGCGCGTGGGTGTGCTTTTCTGTATGGCTTATTTTAGGACTGCTAAAGAATCTGTGGAGGATTTGGAAATTAAGATTTGGGAATAAACAATTACAGTCTCGTGTCTTTAAGTCAGGTTATTCCCTGTTCAGCTATTTCGATCTGCTGTCCTATTTAAGACAAGATGTTAAACAGTGTGATTAAAGCACTTGGTTAAATGCCTTTTAGATGAACCCCTTCCTTAACACCTGTCAACCTTCTACATATATCTGGAAATCTAGAAAAAAGCAGGTTATTCAGGTTCCTGATGGAAGTATCTTCAGTGTTGATTCCTGTATGCCAGGAGCTTTGAACTGGCAAACACGTTGGACACAGCAAAGGGCTGGCAGGCATTGTGAGCTCCCCGAGTTCCTAAAAAAACAATCCCTTATTGATCTCTTTTGATTTTGGTTGACAAGCTATCACAGGAGCGCGCGCTGCTGAAGGTCTGATAGAATTTGAGAGTCTCGGCACGCAGACTCTCTGAGCAGGCTGAGACTGCAGCTGTGACGGCTGCGTTGATGATCTCGGAGGCACATTTTTAGACATGAGCAGCAGCCAGCGGACACTCAAGGTCAGAGAGCTCTTCTGAACCTCCTGCGGCGGCTGACTGGAGGAAACGCAGAACCCGCTGCCTGTCGAGTGTGAGGTTCCCAAGAGAGGGTGCGGAGTGGGAGGGTCTTGGCGATGTGACGCGTGGACGTACCTCTGACCTGCGTGACGTCATTTGTCACCGGTGCGTCCAGCGGTGGCAGTGCTGACCGGGCGGTTCCTGTCTCGGGGTGGCCGAGGTCCGTGTGACGTACGGTACGGGAGCTGGGAACCGGATGTCTGAGTTTGACGACACCTGGGTGCCAGCTGCTGTGTGGGCCCGTCCTGTTCCAAGTGTGCGCCTGCCCCACACGGGATGTTTTGTCTCTTTGGCAAACCTGTGCTGGTATTGAGGCTTAAAACATGGGGGGGGGGAAATCCGCTTCATGCCTCCACCACGGTAGATGAGAATTATTCTTAAACATGTCTGTGCTTGTCTTAGGGTCTGTGTATTCTGTGTGTTCCCTTTTCTAATGCTTCCCGTGCGTTTCCATGGACACCGGGCTCATTCACATACAGATACATATGTAGCAAAATTCGCAAAGAATTTGTGAATTATTTCTTCGTCCCTAGCTGTTCCATTGATGGAGTCGGAAAGGACAGGCCTGGGTGCGGGTGTTTTAAAAGGACAGGTTTCTGAAGTACACTGATGTGATGTGGCGCCCTGTTAGAAGGAGCAGGAGCCATGAGAGAATGGTAGAGAATAAAAGTGTCAAACAAGATGTCATGATGTATACATGCAATGATAAAATTATGCAATCAACCAATAATACCTCATTTAGAGTATTGTGTACAAGACATTATTGCTGTTCTAAAATCACCTGAGAGAAGAATAGCCCGATGTGTTCCCAGTTTTAAAGGAGTCTTTTACGCCGGCAGGCTCAAAGAACTGAGTCTGGAATAGAGAAGGCTAAGTGGGGACCTGATTCAAGTATTCAGATACCTCATAGTCGCTGACAGTCAATCCAGTGAACTTGTCAGAACTAACAGTGAGACAAGCAGCAGAGCACAAAGATGGAAACTGCAGGGAGGTGCATTTACAGGGGAGCTGCAAGGCTATTTTTATATTTGGGAGGTAGAAAGAATCAACATTGATGATGCATTTCAAACCCCAATGAAAGTAAAATGTACACAGCGATTTGCAAAACCTCCAATTTACATAATAAAATAGACTAAATTTCCCGGTCTGCGCAGCACCATGTTGTGCGATCCAGAATGAGGTTATACAGCTTCCCGCGAGCTGAAGCGGCCCATCTTATGATCCAATAGAAGTATTGCTCTCGACTTTGAGATGGTTTTGCTGACAAATACTACTTATGTGTTAACTCCATGTTGGAACGTTTCTGAAAATCTGAAATATATATTAATGTATATGAGATGTCTGCTGCACAACCTGTACTTCATTCGTACATCTTATTACGGTGACTAGTGACCAGGAAGGGCCGCATCACAAACACAGTACTCGCAAACTTTTGACAGCACGGTGACTTACAGTACTTTCACAGAGTTTCACGATGTTGTGCTCAACTTGGCGTCTTGTGCATTTTTCCAAAACCACCAATATATTGGTTTTGTCACCAAGATTTAATAACCGGTCTGAGGAACTGGGGCCGTAGTTCCTCTTTACAACTGAGAACAGGGGGCGCTTCTTTACAGTAAGAGTTGTGAGACTCATGGGATCAAGCTACCCGGTCAGGTTCTTGAATCTGATGCCCTGACAGCATCCGAGTGAGATCCTCAGATCAATTAGCTAGCAAGCAAACAGGCTGCAGGGGCTGAATGGCCAGCTCAGGTTTACAAGTGTCCCTGTGTTATGCACCTCTGGTCAGAGCTGGGTGGCCAATGAGGTGGAACGACCAGGAGCCTCTCTGAGGGAGGCGGGATGTGACTAATGGCTGTAAACAGGAGTATCCTTTACATGTGTTTCTTTGGTTCAAGGTAGGAAGATTAGCCTTAATTGGGGGTGCTTACTGTTGTTGGCGAACCCTTTTACTTCATTTCTTGACTCATGTTGTTCTTGAGTGCCTGCTGTTTTGGAACATTATAATCCCTTTAAAAATGTACATTATTTTTGGCGATGACCTGCAATCGTTTTACGGCATTTCCTCGACTGTGACTGTGTGTACCTTTGTTGTTGTTTTTTTAAGAGGCTCCTTGTGTTCACTGTGAGGTAGCCGGTACTTCTGCAGCCCTCCCTGTCAGCAGTTTGTCTGATTTACAGCACCCCTCTCTCTCTCTCTCAGAGGTGGGCCTGTGTTTACATGGGGGTTAGTTGTGATTTGCTACTTTCCAACTATTTGATAGAATTAACCAATCACAAGCTACAGGCTCAAGGGATAATTCATGTACCACTTTTGATTCGTGCACAGTGCTCACACAGTTTCACATAACGTACACATGAACGCTCACACTCCTCTGAGAGACCGAGGTTCAGGGGTGTCGAACAGCTCCATCACCCCTCAAGCCTTGCAGTAGCACCTCAGCACCTTGTCCTCTGCCATTTTCTTGCAGGCACAGGGTGTGCTGAAAGTCCTCCTTGAGATTCTAATCCTGTTTGCTCTGCTCTACAATTGCTCAGGTCTTAGGAAAAAGTCTTCCTGAGTGGCTCTTCAGCTCCAGTTATTAGAGGGCAGAATAGATGTATTTCTTGGCCGAAGGAGGTACGATAGGGGGGAGACATGCTGAAGTGTGAGGCTGGGATTATGGAATGCTGTTTAAGTGCCTCTGCAGTCAACACCCGAGTTTCCTTAGTGCTCCTGGAGTGTCTTTGCTGTAATTCTGCAAGGGCTTTCCTGTGATACCAAGCTATTATAGCAGGAGGTTATCAAACCTAAACCAAATCGGATTTGAGAAGATGAAACCTATTTCATTTCTAGAACGCTTAAATAACACCGTGTCTCTTATGTCATTCGTTCTAGCTTAGATCTCTAGCTAGAACGTAATAACTGAAGCTTAATATGTCTAAGGGGAATCCTGACTAATGCTCTGCTGGACTGTTGTGCATCTTTTCATCCCTTTTTTGTTTTTGTCTGACTGCACTCATTTGATTAATTTTTAATTGTGTTTTCCCCCAAAGCCCAATAAAGAGTTTGCCGAGTATCCCATCAGTACGTCTGCATTGGGCTCTGCCAGTGAGATCACAGGAAGGGCATGGAGGACTGGGAGCTGACGCAGCCAGCTGACTGTTTTCTCCTTCTTTTTTTTGCCAGCTCACTCCTCTTGCATGGAGGGAAGAAGCCCTGCCCTGCACTCTGAAGATCAGCCCGCGATTCAGGGTAAGCCTGTGCAGCTCGGAGCTGCAGGAGCCACCCCAGGGCCTGGCTGAGTGGCCCAAGCTGCCAGCTGCTTGTGGGAGCAGTGGAGAGCTGCAGTGATTGTTTTGTAAGGAGCTGGCTGGTGAAGTGGCCCTTGTGCTTGAGTCATGATGCTTGTGCAATACTCGGTTCCCATTAATGTACAGTGTGTAGCACATCACAACAAATGCCTAATCGTGCATTAAAGAAAATGAATCGATCGATATGCCTAGTGTCACTTTTAAGGCGCTATTTGAGGAGCTGTGAGTTGCTGCCAGACATTTCCTATCCACACATCGTGGTCCATATGGAATTCACTGCTTTTATCACCCAATGTTTTAATTCAGGTGAATATCAAGAAGGACTCCTGGAGGGTTATTCGATGTTCATCAGTTTTTATTTAATAAAGTTATTGTGATCCAAACAAAAACATTAATTGACTTTAGTTCTGACTTTCAAACACAGTGCGTTACACACTAGAGGCAAGGTTTTCTAAAGCTCTGCAGAGCTTGGCTTTGCTTTGCTTTCATTACTCCGTGAAATGAACTCATCCTAGCAGAGGGTTTCAGAAGAGTATATAATTATCTTTAATGTCTGTATTCAACACGTATAGTCTTTGGGACATCTCCCATGGTCCAAAAAGAATGAAATTTAAAGAGTAACACAACTCTCCAGGAGCAAAAACATCAGTCTTGCTACACATATTTATAGCTTGGGGAGTTTTGTGTTTTATTCGAAGCTGGAATCACCAGTGGTAAATGAACTCGGATCACTGTTACATTCCCACAGGAACTGTGAACACTCCCCCTTCCACGCGTCTCAGCCACTTGTAATTTGAAATACCGCAGCCTGCAGAGTTCCCCGCAATGAAGTTAGCATCAGGCGGAGGAGGGGTGCTTCTCCAGATGACAGCTGTGAGCTTAGAGGCTCCTTTCAGCTCCCTGCTGAAAGTCCCAGAGCTGCAGCAGGCCCGGCCAGCTGTGCGCCACTGCTTTTTGAAGTGAAGTTCACTGTCGAACCCGGGATACCGGGACTACGGAGCTCAGCCTTTGCTCTCAAGAACCTTGGCTGGCTGAACCAGCAGACGCAGCCCTGCGTCTTGCGGGCTGAGCCAGGAAGATGATAACGTTGTCATTTAGAATGCAGTAAGGTGACGTTCTGCTGTGATTGTCCTGCTCTGACAATGAGGATGACCAGCCACAGCGCCCAGCACCCCGTCACCAGGTGCAGTACCTTGGCAGAGCCATGCCCTACATGAAGAGCCTGATCTGAGCCGGCAGCCTGCTTTTGCTGGCTGGCCACTGCCTGCCTGGCTTCCTCTTTGACAGTCGGTTTTTCCGAGACCAACTGCTCGGTGGAAAAAAACAAACTGGCTGGCTGAGTGGCAGTCCTCTTTAACAGTGTGGGTGTTGCTAACTGGTAGAGAATGGTGGGTGAGGAGGAAAATCCAATTGATTTGCTTTTAGGGCTTCCAATTCCAGTTCAAGCAGGGTGCTTATTTAATTCAGTGCACTGTTTTTGCAATCAAATGCGCATCAGCCGTTTTGTTCTGCTGAAGTCAGTATTATGCAAATAGCTGATTTGCAATATTTGCTCTCGAACTCCCCTGCGCTCCTGTTTAGCAGCAGAAGAGTATCAGGCCTGCAGTGTGAAGGGACTGGGCTGTTTGTGTAGTGCTTAATGCAGTCGACTCTTCGCAACATTTCTTAGTGGCCTGCTGGTGACAGCGATAAGCTTTCAGTTTTTAGTTTTGGGGAGGAGAGTGAAGAAGACAGTAATAGGCTAAAGATACTAAGTGAGGAAACTTTCTTCAATCAAGATAAACTAGGATGGAGAGAGACAGGAAGGATGTACGGACATGTTTCAGTGACTTTCAAATAAACTACAAGATAAGTGACACGTGCTTTAAATGTCCTGAGCTTAGTCTAAATTCTTTACTATAAGTTTAATGTCACTAACAGTAGACTGCTAATTCCTAGGGTAGTGATCTCCTTCCCAGTGTTGTGTTTTTATTTATTCAGTACCATAGCTCACGAATTTAAAAAAAAAAGCGATTTCTTTTTTGGGTGATTGTGATCAATTTTTGGGTGATTGCGATCAATCACCCAGCAGGTATATCACTCTTTATAATTTACAACAAATGTTTTTTTTTGTTTCAAAGATGGCAGCTTAAACACAAGAAATTCACAGCATTTTCTATAACATGGCACAAAACAGGAAACAAAACATTTTTTAACTACAGACTTAGACAAAAGTCACTGCCATGTTGCAACTATATTACAGTATATTATTGATCAATATCATAACTGAAAGAGTATTTTCAACATTACTATCACTGCTTAAGCACTGTGTAATGTACAGTAGCACATTATAGACCGCTCTCACTACAGAATTGTAGTGCTACAATAAAGTACATAATTCACTAACATTACTGCACTGTAACTACTACTTGCTATTAGTTTTTGAGCTGTGATTGTTGCTTCGTTGGCGGACATTACAGGTTACAAATGAGATGAGGCCATTAGACCCATCTAACCCTTTTAGTTGCTAGTAGCTAATTGATGCGCGGCTCTGCTCCAGCCTGTTGTCACTTTTAAGAGCACTTTTCTGAAGAAGTCCTTTGGGTTGACTTTGTCACTTTATTTGAGAGTTAGGGAATACTTAGCTGAGGTTCGCTCTAAGTCTTCACCGTTGAACCCCGACAAGGTTTTGTCTGTTTTGACAGTCTATGGAGTTCCTTTAAACCCCTCACAATTTTGGTTCCCAGTGGGAGAGTGATAACCTGTAATTTTGACATCCTCTGTACCCAGTTAGGCTGCAATGGTTGCAGGTCCGAGCAGGTTTTGTGGCAGCAGGATTAACACCTTGCCTTGGTAGACCAATATATTACACGGAGGTCGTGACTTCTCCCTGTCACTTTGTAAAGATTCTGCGATACTTTTTTGGTAGGAAAAGCCCAATAGTAACAACCTTTATTTCCATCCACTGGAATATATAGCCTAGCTTGATTTATGTTCATTTAGCATAAACAAATGTCAAACAAAAGGTGATCTTTTGACCTCCCAAAAGGTAATTGACCCTTTGGCATTTGTCAAGATAGAGTGCCTTTTTTTAGAGAAATGGTGTATCTGCAATCTTTATTTATTCCATTTAGCGCCTATTTTATGTCTCAATATCTGTGGCCTTAGGGTTTCTTGGGGTGTTTGTATTGGGATTTATACACATGAATACAAACCATTAATTTTTAATATTTAAAATGAGCCTCCCCTAAGCCTTGTGGAATTCTGGTTTTCTCCAATACATCAGCGTTCATGGCATGAATATCAGGTTCCAAATGGCTGACTGCAGGAGGATCTGCATGACGCACAGAGCCAGAATACCAGGCAAAATGTGTTGTCGTTTCCTTTTTGTGCTTGGTGTTTAGTTGCTATTGATGCTCATGTTGTTCAGTTGTATATGGCCGGGAGTTGGAATGACATTAAAATTCCTAGCATGCACCACTATTGATGAGAAGAAGCGGGAACAGAAGGAGCAGGAGGTGACGTAGGAGAGGCAGCAGCAGAAGAATTAATTATCGCGCTGAGTTTGATTAAGGGCATCTTTCCTGCTCTGGTCAACATGCGGGTTGGGCTTCCTGTCTCGTGTCCAGACGCCTCCCAGCTCCCTGTGTGTGGCTGTGTTCTCAGGGATGTGTTCTGCCTGGCTGGCAGACGTCTGTGGTGATGGCATTAGCTCCAAGCCCTGAGCGCAGTGCCTGTGTGCCAGCCCATTGGTTGGTACGGGAACATCAATATGCTTGTGACTGACAGCCCCTCCCCGTCCCGCAGGCAGCAACATGATACTGGTGGCCTGCCAGCATTGGAACTGTTTATTAACATTAATAGCACTATTGTTATGGACAGCAGTATTACAGAAGAAATCGATTGAAAAATATCAGTACTATTTATGCTGCATTGGAATCTTAAAATAATCATTAAAGGTCTTAAAACATGCTTGATTGGTTTCTGCAAACAGAAATGTTTCAATACATATGTTTAGTGATGTAACTCTGCCTGCATTCCAGGTATAACCATTTAACTACTGTCCTTATAATAATAATAATAATAATAATAATAATAAAATAATAATTGACACTGAATTCATTCGGAATGGTGCCCGTGCAACTGGACCAGCAAACCTGGGAACAACATTTATGATGTTTCTAAATAAAATCCTAAGAGCATGTGGAATAGTAGAACTAGATGGTCTGTTTTAATCATGTCAGACACTGCATCACCAGAGACACATGCATATCTGTTGATCTGTAATAAAAGGACTAGACTAAATTTAGTGGTTGAGGTTTTCCATGTTTACCTTCAAAAAAGCACCTCCTTTAAAACTGTCTTATTTTAAACTAAAATAATAAGTTCTTTACCGAAAAGGAAAATAGGCAGCACCACATCCGTTTAAGAATCTTTTTAGAAATCATTAAAATTTTAGACACTGCAGTTTTGCGTTTCTGTCCTTGGATATTTTAAGCTGAAATTGCATTTTTCAGCAGATCTGTTGTAGGCACATGGAGAAAAGAGCTAAAAGTGCAGAGACGTAGTGGTGCCTAAGCCAGGTTATTTGAAGACTGAAATGTCAGAGAGATTTTAGAACAGATAGCAGTGTCTCAGTCACAAATAAGGGAAGAATGTGCAGCAGTTCAATCATGACACAAGAAGGGAAAAGCAACCAGTCTCGTTTCAGAATTAGGTATTTTTTTGCTTTTAATCTTCTTGTCTAAAGATGCATGTCTTCAAGCCCTCGTTAAGGTTAGAGGTGTGGAAGTAATAACAGATGAGACTGAATTGCTGGGCTGCAGTCTTTTTATTCATAAACACTGAACCGATTTGACAGTTTCCTTGAGCAGTGCTTTAGCATGCTCAGTCTGTGGAGGCTGCACGTTGAGAGCCTGTTAAGTGTCACTGTGCACTGCACCCTGGTTCTGGCTGCTGTTA